TCGTCCCTCCGCCGCCTCCTCTGTCGCTTGCAAGAGCAGGCATAGGAGCCACGGTTGGGAGAGGCACAGCACCCTGTGCCTGCCCTTGCAAGAGGCAGGCAGCGGCAGCAGGACCAGCAGCGAGAAAGGGCTCCTTTTGGGCTGCACGTCTCTCCACCGCAGCTGCCCACCTCACTCGAGTATAAGCCGAGGGGGGCTTCTTCAGCATAAAAAATGTGCTGGAAAAGTCGGCTTATACCCGAGTATATACAGTATATCTATTTATGCACAAATACATGCATCTTTCTAGACTGCCTTTCTATTTATTACATGCCCAAGAGTGGCAGAAAGCAGACTACATTTGTTCCCACAAACCCTTAAGATGCTATTCTGCACAATATCTCCTCTCTGCCCAAATAATAAAAATAATTCCTCTGTGACACAAAAATACAGAATCTCTTCCTTCATTCTTATCTTTTCATTGTGTCTTTTCCTAACACAAACTGCAACACACATTTTACTGGCTTCCCGTAGTTCATCATTTGATGAAGTGGAGATTTCTTTATTATCTATCAAGAAGCAAAGCTACCTCACACTCATGACCTGAGAAAAATAGCCTTGCACATGCCATCCCCAAGATTGACTGAGTATGGTATTTTGGAACAGTATTTGTATCCCTCTCAGTTTCCCATCAGATATTAAAGGTGTTTAAAGATATTAAAGGTGTTACACAAGAGACATGGAGCTGCCTCCGTATTTCTTCTTCCTCCTCTCTTCTTAGCAACATCTACTATAAACACGTGTGATGTGATGAGATCATGCTGAATGCCCCCACACTGGCCACAGCCAATGATCAGAGGCAGGAGCAGGGAAAACAACCATCGATCTGGGTGTGAGTCAGATATGGGTGTTATAAATGAGATGCTGCCAGGAAGACGAAGGGGGGGCGGGGAAGAGTGAGAGAAGTGATTGCTCCAGACCAGTGTTTCCCAAACTTGGGTCTCCAGCTGTTTTTGGACTACAATTCCCATCATCCATCACCACTGGTCCTGCTAGCTAGGGATAATGGGAGTTGTAGTCCAAAAACAGCTGGAGACCTACATTTGGGAAATCCTGCTCCAGGCTCTTGTCATGCTCAATATTACTAATACTTATGCTATTTATAGGCTATTAATTTTGCATAGAATTTCTTTGGATGAATTAATGATTAGAAATTTCTACATGGCTGAATAGTTTGAAGGCAAGAGTTGAACAGAAGCATGAAATTTTTTACCTCCTTCTATAAATAATGCAACATTCCCTAACATAGGAGGTTTCCAATTTTCCTGGGTTTTTCTATAAGCATCATTTAATGCTTAGACAACAGCCGTTTAGGCTCCGCAGCAGGTGTAATGGTAAAGAAGAAATTTTAAAAAAACAGCTGCATAATGTACTTGTAAGCCGAACTGCAACAATACAGAAATGCAACATCCTTTTCAGTATGGGAGTCTTATATCATTGACTTTTCCCCTCAAAGCATTAATTCTTTTAAGCCTTAACTTGCCAACATATTGAATAATAAAAACAGAAATTGCTAATACTGGAAAGGGGAAATTGCCAGTGACACATCTTTGGTTTTTTTTGTTTCTTTGCACTCTTATATTTAGCATACTAATACTAGGAATAAAACAATGCTGGCATTTGGGGGGGTGGGGTGAAAAATGATTTTCAGCCATTTTCAAAGCATGCTGGAGATTCAAAGAAATTGTGTTGCACTCTACACTCCTGAGTCACAGAATCCTGACTCTCCTCACTGTGCAAGCTTTAGAGTTACACCAGATTTCCCCCTTTGCAGTGAAAAGTGACATTCCAGTGGAATGAAGTTTTTCAGGGAAAGCGCAGCACTCTCCAGGAAGCAGGGAGGTGGTGGGTTGGGTTGTCTCTGAAATTGTGATCCTTTCACCTTGCATGGCAAAGGACTTCCCAACAACTGCACTGTGGAAGTGTCTCTTTTACAAGAGAATTACAGTGGTATCTCAGGTTACATACGCTTCAGGTTATAGACTCCGCTAACCCAGAAATATTACCTCAGGTTAAGAACTTTGCTTCAGGATGAGAACAGAAATCCTGCTCCGGCGGCGCGGCGGCAGCAGGAGGCCCCATTAGCTAAAGTGGTGCTTCAGGTTAAGAACAGTTTCAGGTTAAGAACAGACCTCCAGAACGAATTAAGTTCTTAACCCGAGGTACCACTGTATGCAATGCACAAAAAGTTTCCTTCTTTGAAAGGGCAACGGAAACTGCAAAGGCAGGAATCCACAGTGCTATTTACAACAATCCTTTTGCTTAAGGAGAGGGGTCTGTGCCTCAGTGGCAGAGCATCTCAAGCCTCAGGTTCAATCCCCAGCATCTTCTATTTGAAACGCTAGGCAGCAGCTGCCAGTCAGTGTAAACAATAATGGGTTAGTTAGATGGATCAAAGGTTTCACTCAGTTTAAGGCCGTTTCCTATGTTGCTTGCCAGATGAGTTGGGAAAGGCCACTGCAGACGCCTCTTAAAGTTTCTGCTGTTGCTTTAAAGGAAGTGAACATTTTTGCTCCAATTGTGTACCTCCCTAATGATAACCAAAACAGGCAATCACACCAGGCAAAAGGGACCTCACGCTTCAACAGACTCTTGCATATTGTTATGGGTTTGTGGGTGCTGGGCACCCTAAATTCCTAGGTCCAGTAGGTGTTAGAATTTAATTAAGGCTTTGTGTGTTAAAAATGGGAAATAGACGTGTGTGTGTGTGTGTGTGTGTGTATTAAGGCATGTGTAATTAGGCTGTGTGTTAAAAGCTAATTAAGTCAGGGCAGCCTCTGTGTGAGGTGTCAGCCTGAGTTAATGAGCTATTAGGACAACAGAGGATCAAACGAATTCTACTATCAAAGGATGACTACTAGCACACTGTTTTCCAAAATCACTTGCACAGTGTTCCATATGGCCTTCTGCTAGCACTTGACAACAGTTCAAGAACAGCACCACCAACAGAATTTCATCAAGTGCACATCTCCGGATCCAACCCAAAGTCTGTGTGTCAAATTGAAGAACTATGCATACAGGCACAGTGAAGTAATACTGAAGTCTTTCTACATATCCAAGGTTTGGTGTGACTTCCTACAAATAAAACTTATTTTTTTAAAAAGTGATTTAAATAGATATCCTATTGAAGATATCTCCATTTACGGTTATTGTTTAAGCAAAGGTCAGCCAAAGTACCAAAGCAGAACTGCTATTAATATTGCAGTTTGAATCAAAGATTTCATAAAACAAGTGATTCGTTATTTTCTGCTATAGGGTTCTCCTGAGTGCTGTTTGCCTACAGAAAGGAGTATCTTACAAAGCTATCAATAATGTAATACAGCTATTAAATATTGATCTCTTGCACAGCATTCCCAGCTGCACAATCAGTTTAGGTTTTTTAAAAAAAACACACTGTAAATTACACATCAACAGAGAACAGTTTACATATTATCTTTGGAAAGGAGTTCAGAGCCATCTTTTTTCCTCCCTGGAAAGTTTTTGAACACTTGTCCTAAAGAACTTTATGTGCTTCCTGCAAGCTTCCTTTTCTAGGGAGCTATGTGGCGACTTCTGTTGTGTGGGCTCTCCTTCCATCCTTTCTGTTATGCTCATAAAAGAGGGCTTGTAAGGAACGTTATAGGGTTTTGAACATCTGCCTAGAGAAATGCCTGCAGCCTGGCTATACAGAGATTAATGGCCAGCTGTGCGACTGTAGCTGATGGATTAGGGGCGCTGTGGCATCATTTTGTGTGTTTGTGTTATGATAGAGGATGTGTGCATTGAGGAGTCTAGTGCCCATCATCCCTGGCCCTCAACATATGCGAGTGTCATCACCGACTGTCCCTGGTTGGTGGGCAATGGAGCGTTTCAAAGGCACTTTACAATGTTTTTTGCATTTTCTGGTTGTGTGTTTTCCCTGTCACCTCCTGAGCTGAGGACACAAGAGATACAGCAGCTGTTCCACCAGCAGAGCAACAACATATCTCCTTCTCCCTCCACATAATTGGAGTATAGGATTTCTCTGTAAAATTAATAAATAATGAAACAATCCACAATGAGAAACCTCCTGTGGGCAGCCTTTTAGGCTTCATTAGCTACAATGATATAAACATTTCTAGTGAAACCCATGGATTCAATCTTCCACCGACTGCCTACTCAAACTTCCCATTATTTTGTATACAGACGTGCAAATGAATATATGTTTACATTCATTTATTCATTCATTCATTCATTCATTCATTCATTTGGCTTCCTCTTTGTCTCACTTTAGGAAATTGTTAAAAGCTCATCTTCCTCTCTTGTATTTCTTTCTTCATATAAGTTAGTAATGATATTCTTTGACTCATTTTCCTCCCCTTACTTTCTCGTAACTAAGTGCCCTTTCTCCCCCAGATCCACGATACTTTTTCCTAGTGTCTTTCGAGACTATGATGCTGAAAGCAGCGATTTGTGCTTTTTAAAAATGTTGTACTGCTACTACTACTAATAATAATAATAATTTATTATTTATAGCCCGCCCATCTGGATGAGTTTCCTCAGCCACTCTGAGTGGCTCTCAATCGAGTGTTAAAAACAATACAGCATGAAATATTAAAAACTTCTCTAAACACTTAGGAAACTTTTATTACAAGTACATCATGATGTTGAATAGTCACTAAGGCAGAAATATGGGACAACAGGGAGATGGAGTTAGAGGGGAAGGGGAGATAACAATTCAGAGTCCTAAATGAAAAGAACAGAGAATAATCCTGACATGAGTATTCATGTGATCACAAAAATGGCAGAGGGAGACAATTACAAGAATTTTATTATAGGCTACAAGTTACCACAGAGAAGATCAGAAATTAGTACTGAAACAGATTTACAGTGCCACAAGAAATTAAATCTTTCCCCACAATTCTGCTTATTTTTGTTGGCTATTTTATTTTTTAAAACCTCTATACAGCCCCTTTCCAGGAAGTAAAATGTTGATAGGTTACCTTAAATTTGTCCACTTCTGCCTTTGAACATGTCGCATGGTAAGACAGCACCTGACCCAGAACAAATTAGGAGGGGGAGAAATTCCACAAGTGAGAAGCTCAAATGAAAAAGGAGCTTTAAGCAGTCTCTGAAAGGACTATTAAAATTATTTATTAATATTTATGCATCACCATACATTATATGTGAGATATTACATCACAGGTCATCAATTCTACTTGCAGCATTTACCTCCTAGATAATTTCTTAGGAAATGGTATTTCAGAAATACTGTAATGCCGCAGACAATGTTATTGTTCTGATGTGAAGAAAAATAAACCAAAGGAAAATAATTATGGGCTGAACCCAAGTGTGCACAGGAAGAAGGAAGCACTGGTGGAAATCGACCCCCCTCCCATGTGTATTCAGAATCAAGAACTACTGATTCCACCCTTGTGTTGTTTTTTTAAACCAAATTGTGATGGTTTTTCATCATTGCCTTCATCAATATTCAGATAAGAGTGTGATCAATCTTTATCTTCTAATAGAGCAGTATCTTAACAATTGATCAATTATATTTTTATGCTGAAATGATTTTTCAGTTACAGAGCCTTTATTTTGTACCTGGATGAGCCTTAAACACACTTTTGACTGTGATTATATACACAGCCATGGCATGGACATTTGCATGCAGCTGCAATAGTTTTCAAAAGTTTATTACAACTCATCCCCTAGCTGAGCTTTTCCAAGTCAGTGAAAAAGCAGCACGCCCATTCTTACCAACAACTTTCAAGCTACTATAGATGTCTGATTCCCCATTGCTTATGCCACAGCTATCTAGAATTTTAAGCTTTCTTAATGTGTACATTGGAATACGACGAAATCACAGATCTGGACATAGAGTCCTGCTGGATCATGAAATGGCTCATTTAGTGCAGCATCCTGTTCTCACAGTGGCCAGCTAGATGTCCATGGGTACTTTTCAGTCATGATAAGATAGCCTAGATCTGAACTGACCAAGTTCAATGGAAGCATTCAGGTCCTTGGAAAACACATCACCAATATTGGATAGGAAACAGAACAAAACTAACTTTCCCTCTCTTACGTTGAGGAGCACGGAGAACTAGGCAATAAATTAAAGTAGAAATGCATGCATCTTATTTCTACAGCAGGAAGGACTAAAAATCTGTTAAACAAATAATAAATATATAAATCCCCCCCCAGTAAATATTAAGTTGATTTACAGTGATACTCACATCAAGAGCCACAGATTGTTTTGCCCAGGATTTATTCACTTGGTCATACATTATTGTATTGTTGATGCCCAAGCCACAAAATATGACAAAAGCCTAGGAAAATAAATATAAATAAATAAAAATTTGTAATATGTCATCTCCAGAGATTAACATTAGTTTATTTGTTAAGAAGTTCTTTAAACACACAATTCTCTGGGAACCTGAGCCAGCTTGTTAAACATAAGGCAAAATAGCCATAATACCAACACAATGGTATTGTTAGCACATTATGTTAAGCTATAGCTTATTTCTGTTGTCTGAACAACACCTAAATCCAGCCCAGGAGCAGATGAACCACAGACGAATAGCAATATGGAACCATGTTTTTTTGTTGGCGTGCAAAATGGTGGTTACTTTTAACTATGGTTTGGAATTATGTTCAAACTGAACCATCTAATTTAACAATGGGTTCCCCTCCGTCTCACTTCAACCCAGATACTTGTCAAGCTATAGAGGCAAATGGCAAAGGATGGAAGAAGCTTTGCCTCTACAAGGAAACAGTTTTAAGAACCTGTTTAAGAAGTCTAGATGGGACTCTGGGTGGTTTATTACATTGTGCATGCAATTGTCATATTTTCCTGATAAGGGAGATTGTGAGAAATTGTAGCCAAATATAACTAGCAAGCTTAGGGCTAGTCAACGCATGAAGGGGTTAAGATCGCAGAACTGTATTCTCAGACTCAGCTAAGTCATGTCCTCACCTGAGAGGAAGGTAAGTTTCCTTGTTTGTTCATTCTCCTTTCACCCTGTGAACTCAGTGAAATAGGATGTGCCTGAGCTTGCTTGTGTTTACTGTATGGAATAATGAATGAATCTGACCTCTGGAGTTTGTAAGTAAAGCATGTAAACTTACTAAGCATTTAAACTTACTTGTTCATTGCAAGAGGGACAGAGAGGGAAAGCACTGTAAGCAGCTAGAATTTAAAAGGTCTAACATTCCCACTGCGCTGCATGATTCTGTGTTTTAAGACTCTGCTGATGGGTCTCTCTCTCTCTCTCTCTCTCTCTCTCTCTCTCTCTCTCTCTCTCTTACATGAGTTTACTTGTCCTGCGATTCTGGATGTAGGCATTCAGCACATTCTTTTATCAATCACCCCAACACAGGTGATCTATATGTCCCCCCTCCCCCAGGAGAATGGGTTAGTGTTATGTATAAATTCACTTATAGCCTGTTAGTGTTATGTATAACACCATGGGTTAGTGTTATGTATAAATTCACTTATAGCCTGTGGAATTCTGTCAGTATTATGTGAGATAGTTGAGAACTACCCATTAGTCTAAAAGGCTGATGCACTACTGCAAAAAATACGTATTATCAGTTGAAGCAGTGCGGCTAAAAGGTAAAGGTAAAGGTACCCTGCCTGTACGGGCCAGTCGTGTCTGACTCTAGGGTTGCGTGCTCATCTCGCTCTAGAGGCCGTGAGCCGGCGCCGTCCGAAGACACTTCCGGGTCACGTGGCCAGCGTGACGAAGCTGCAGCTGGCAAGCCAGCACCAGCGCAGCACACGGAAACGCCGTTTACCTTCCCGCTAGTAAGCTGTCCCTATTTATCTACTTGCACTTAGGAGTGCTTTCGAACTGCTAGGTGGGCAGGAGCTGGGACCGAACGACGGGAGCTCACCCCGCCGCGGGGATTCAAACCGCCGACCATACGATCGGCAAGTCCTAGCACTGAGGTTTTACCCACAGCGCCACCCGCGTCCCCAGCAGTGCGGCTAGCAGCAGCCAAAACTAGTATGCGGCACAAGACAATGGTCAATTCATATACAGAGCATCTCTATTACCACAAAGCTATGGCTCTGGAGATCTACTGCAAAGCACTATGGATAATAACAAGAGAGATGGACCAACGATCCCGATTCAGCATGAGGCAACTTTCTATGTTCCTATATATACAAGTTTTTAGGTCCAGAGTAGTTTGAAATTAACCAATTCTATCTGATTAGTTATTCTCAAATTACAACTATTTTTGGAGGCAATTCTCCATCCTGGATTCAGAACTATCAACTGAAACATTTTCTAGCCTACAATTTTAGAACTGGAATGATGGAAGCAAAAACATCTCTGTCTGAATTACTACTATTTGAGGTGAAGAAACTGTAGAGGAAGAAATGGAAAGGGTTCTTGTTTTAGATCTATCATGCTCTTATAAGCTACAGAGTGGGAATTGAAAGCAGTAATTTTCAAACTAAATGGAATAATACTTCGGGAATTGATATTTCAGATTCTGTTTGGCACTTCATTTTTACAAAAGGCCCTGCAGCCTCTCCATGTAGAAAATGGAAGGAAAGCCATTAAAAAGGTCCTTTAAAGCTCCATCTCATCTGGCGAAAATATATAATAGTTACTGTGAGAAATGCTGGAAATGTTAGAAACCTAATGCTGATAGTTTCCATACTTGGTGGAGTTGCAATAAGACTGAGAAAGTCTGGAAGTTGTTACTAGGATCTTTCTCAGGATTAATAATTCTCAGAATGCAGCCTAGCCACCCTTACAAGAAAATCCATTCCAGTACTTTCACTGGTATTTATTTATGAGTATATGTAAAATAAGATCAGGACGGACATGCCTTTTTGCGTACAACACAGGTATAAAGGAGACTCCACTTGCAGAAATACATAGGCTGTATTCCAGCCTAAGTTTAGCAAATCCCGTTGTTATGAACAGGAGCATTGCAATCCAAACCTATA